GTGCGGCCCGTGCAGCCCGCGTCCTGCGACTTCAGGTGAGCGCCGGCCAGGTTGCCCGAGGGTCTGGGACCAGCCAGGAGGGGCCAGGATATCTGGGTGCCCTTCCCCCACCGGACCTCCCACCTGGCCCCAGGGATGCCCAGGGCAGCCGTCCAAGCCCGCTGCCCCCCCTCCCCGTGGATGCCGGTCCACAGGGGTGCAGGGCCCAGGACTGCCTCCTCCCCTCACAGGACCCAGAGCCCGGAGAGCACGGGGCTGGCAGAGGGCTGCTTCTGCCCCGACGGACAGACCCTCTTCAACTCGCACACGGACGTCTGTGTGCCCGAGTGCCGTAAGCACGCCCCGGCCCCGGCCCTGACCCCGTCCTGGTGAGGCAATCCGGGGAGGCACAGGCCGGACGTCCCTGTCCCAGGCCGGTGCTGGGCCCGTCCCGCCTCGATGTCAATGGCAGCCTCAGCCCAGCGCCAGCCCGTCTGCTGGCAGCCACGCGGCCTGGAGCCCTCGGTTCCCGGGGGCTTCCGTTCCCAGGGGGACGACCGAGGCTGGGGAGTGGCCAGGCCCCGGAGGACCTGTCCCTGCGGCCTGTGGCCTCTGCCACCGGCTGTGAACCCCAGGACCCCCTGTGACCCCCCCTCCTCCTTCTCTTCCAGCCTGCGTGGGACCAGATGGGTTCCCCAAATTCGTGAGTGATTCTGCCCCCCGCCGGCCCCACCTCGCTCACCTCAGCTTGGGCGGGCGGGCGCTCTGCCAGGGCTGGGTGGGCGCCTGGGTGTGCATGCGTCCCTGTCGCAGGGCTGCTCGGAGCTGGGGCTGGGGGCGAGGGCCGCCCTGGCCGAGCTGAGGCTGGGCCTGAGCCCTCAGGGACCCTGACCTGGTCTGTTGCAGCCTGGAGAGCGATGGGTCAGCAACTGCCAGGCCTGCGTGTGCGACGCGGGCTCCGTGTCGGTGCAGTGCGTGCCCGTGCAGTGTGATGCCCGGGAACTGCCCCGCGAGTGCGGCCAGACTGGCTTCGTGGCCGTGACCAGGCCCCTGGCGGACAACCCGTGCTGCCAGGAGACGCTGTGCGGTGAGCCCTGCCCTGCAGGCCGGCGGGTGGGGACCCGAGAGGAGGGCGCAGGGCACAGCCGCCAGCCGGCAGGGCCTGCAGCGCGGAGGCCACCGAGGCCACGGCGTCCTGGCTGGACCCCTGTGCTGGGCGGCCTCTGGGGGCTTCATTTTCCCCTAAAAATGAGGCTGGTGACCGCGGTCTGCCCAGGCCCTGGGGCAGGACCAGGGAGGGGGAACCCAGAAGGGTCGCATTGAGTGGTCAGCCCCCTGGACAAGTACTTCTTTGGTTCCAACATGGGGAACCCCGTTACACTGGGAACTAGCTGGGTGGGGAGGGCGAGGTCCCCCGACAGCACCCGCCTCTCCGCCTCTCCGCAGTCTGCAACACGACCACCTGCCCCCAGAGCACCCCGGCATGTGGGCCAGGAGAGGAGCTGGCCCCCACCCAGGAGGAGGGCGGCTGCTGCACGACCTACACCTGCCGTGAGTGGGGGGCGGGGGGAGCTCTCTGGGTGTTGCTTGGGCCAGGAGTGTCCTCTCCCCGCCTCCCCACCCCCACCCCCTCCGCCAGGCAGGCCCTCAGCCTTCCCTTTGCTTCCAGGGCCCAAGCTGTGCACCTACAACGGCACCGTCTATGGGGTAAGGCTCTGTGGCGGGGGGGCGGGGGGGGCGGGGGGGCAGGGCTCTGTACATCCACTGTGGGGCGCCCAGGCCCCTCTGGACACCGCGCCTCGTCTCCAATGCCCAGCCTGTCTACCCTCCTGCCATGAGAGCAGATGAAGGTAGCAGCTCGGGCCACCTTAGAGCTGGGCG